ATAAATACATACATGTACCTATCATACCAACTCATATATTCTTTTATGGAATAGTTACACTTATGCACACATATCATCATTTACGTTCATAACATTATCGCATAGTATTATCTTTAATACACATACACATCATATAATAGCATATCACCAAAATAAACATATAACATCACATAAAATTTTCTCATATTGTATCTTTAATGGACCATGTACTCATGTGAGAACTATATATATGTGAGTCTATAGAGGTTGTACACTAATGCTGTCACCAAAGCTCGTATAAATGCACTGAAGTGCCACATAGAATTGCACTGAAGTGCCACATAGAATTGCACCAAAGTGCCACGTAGAAATGCACCAAAGTGCCATATAAAATGTCCATAAGGACCACATAGAAATTCCTTAAGAATCAAATACATATTCTAAGGACCAAGTATATGTCTCAAAGGACCTCATAGATGTTCCAAAGGATACATATATATCCCGAAGGACCGCGTAGACCCTCGACTCTTGGCATGCCAACTATATCCCTAGCTCTCATGACACATAACATGGGCATTATTATTTATATCATTTCACATATTCACATAAACACATAATTCACTTTCACATTTCACGTATCTTATGTCGCATAACTTGGATCACATATACATATAATCACGTAGATAACTTTTACTCATCTTCTATCAACTTTTCACGTCATTTTACATTTCTTATAAAATTGCTTATATCTTATTCTTATGTCTTCTCACAGACATATATTCACATGTTCATATAGTTCACCATCTCATCATATAAATATGTACTCATTTCATTTCACATATAGTCTCATAACTTATCCTGGTATAAATCATATAACATTTTTCCAACTTATAGTCACACACACACACACACACACACACACACACACACACACACACACACACACACACACACACACACACACACACACACACACACACACACACACACACACACACACACACACATATATATCATTTTACCTATACTTGTATTCAAATGGTTTATGTTCTTCTTATCATAATCACATATGTCATGTTTAATAACTTATATAATCTCATATAGCTTAAGTTTCATTCTCTTATATTTACCTATATCATGTAACCTATGTCATACTTATAAACACATATCACTTCTATCATTTCATTTATATATATTAATCTAATATATTTACTTAGTTCAATTTCATATAACCCATATGTCATAATTTTATTTAAGCACATGAATCTTTTCTTTATATCTTATCTTATAAGTGCGTATCATCATTTATGTTTAAGTCTCCTAATTAATATACTATTCTCCTATCATTCTATAGGTCAATCTTGTTTAGCTGATCTCATTTTTCATTTAATCATACAATTCTATTATACTAATTTACATAAATGATCACACAACTATGTACTTGTCTAACTCCAGTTCCTATTATTTATATAACCTTTATATTTGTTTACCTACTTCCTATTAATTCTTATGAACTCACTTTTATCATATTCTCTTATTATTACATAATTTATCTCCTCAACCTGTATTCACATACCTTAAAATCATATAACTTATATCATTCATACATAGTCACATAGTTCAATATCACATGGTTTATATCATATTCACACAACATGTATTCACAACAATTATATAACATACCCAATAGCGTACATCATATATATTCATATCAAACACATGCTTATAGTCATGGATTTATGCATTCTAATATAGGAAATAGACTTATCACAAGTCTTATTTCCATTCATCATCATATAATAACTAAGATGCACTCACCTAGCTTCACTAGTCAATTTGAGCAATTATAACTCTTTGTCTTTCCCTCGATTGATCCTACTTGCCAATTGTTTCGGAACTTATTTAGGCTCTATATCTACATCAATATAATTTCCAAGACGATTATCAGAAGCCTAAACCTTATAATTCGATGCTAATAACTTAAGCTAATTTAACGAGCCAAAATTCATTTTCCCCTTTAGGAGGGTATCGGTACACTACGGGTGTATCGATACCCAAATTAGCTTCGAAATTCACAGGTATCGGTACACTCCTTAATGTATCGATACACTATGAAGTTGTTCTTCAAAATTGGTCTTAGTGTATCGGTACTTATTCATAGTGTACCGATACACCCTGCCCAGAACATATTATTTTCACTCGAAAATTATCAATACTTCACCCAATTTTCATATATAAGGCCCTTGTTATGCTACCAAACTCAATTATAACCACTTTAACTATTTTCTATCATTCCAACATCTTATTATCTCCCATATCTTATCTAAATTCTTAAATATAAGAATCTTACTAAATTTTCTATGTAATCTAAACTCAGTTTCAACACTTGTTATTTCTTACTCACCCTTATGGCAAGTCAAATTCAGTTCCTAAATTCCTTTTTATACCCTTATTCAAAAGTTCACTTAAAAACTATTTTTCCTTAATTCCTTACAACTTATTCATCTTTTAGTTTTTAAGCCACTTAAAGCTTCTCTTAAGTTTGTATAACACCCATGCTTAGAACCAACCACCAAACATTTAAGAAACTAACTAAATTTCAGAACTTACCTTTGCAAATTAAACTCACGGCAGAGGAAGAAGACAAGCCAAGCTTCCAGACTTCTCTTTACTTTTCTTTCTCTCATCCCATGCTAAATATCCTTTATAAAGGAAAATAAAAATCTTTTCTTTGAAAAGACCAATTTATCCTTACTTCATTCAATATTTACTAAACCATCCTTCATAAAATATTTCCCAACCCAGTCCTTGAACTTTTTGAATTTTCAAAATCATACCTCAAAGTTTAAAAAATTACCTTTTAGTCACTAGCCCTGATTTTGGAATGTTACAGTTAAATATGACTTTGGTCATGCTTAGCTAATTTTCTTTTAAGCCAAGGGCTAAAGCGAAGACTCAATTCCAAATGTGAGAATTGTAAGGTACTTAACTCGCTTCGGATTTCTCTTTGTTTTCTGAGCTTACTTTTCAAATCAAAACGATTTCGACATTGGTCTGGATGTTGTTATGGTTAACGTTTGAAGAAGGATTTGCTTATTGAAGCATATTCAACTTCCCGAGAACACACTTAGCAAAATTTTTTGCTAAGAGGAAACTAAGATCAAAATCAGTTATTGTTGAAACGACACAATCCGAGTTGGCAGCGAAGAATTATCCTTGTAATCCGACTTGAATCTTGAAGTAAAAATATGTTTCGATGATCCGAGGAATTTGAGGCAAAGCTGAAGTATGAGGTTGTTTTCACAATAAGTTTCTCTTTATCTCAATCTCTTTAAATTATTTGTTTAATTATTTCTTTTATTTAATTCTTATATTTTATTTTAAAAACAACTTTAAAAAACTCCTTTTTATTTTACTATTATTATTTATTATTTTATTATTTTTCCTTTTATTTATTATTATCTATTTTATTAAATCTTTTCAACTTTACTTGGAATTCTATCTCCTCCTAAAATCAAAAAACAGTTTTACTAAATCAGAAACACCACAGTCCCTGTGGATTGACTCTGCTTCTCTATACTACATTTTCCTTTCTATTTAAGAAGTCGAAATTATTTTGATTGCAAAACAACGGTAATCAATGTACAATAATATTGAAATGCTTGATCACGAAGAAATGTGTATTGATGCATGCTTTTGTTTTGAAGACTGGATTTCAACTAATCAATGAGTATTCTTTGATCTTACAGGTTCTCGGGACCAAATTCCATAACGAATTATTGGAGATAATTGATCCAAGGTTGTGTGTTTTTTTTTTGTATTACTAGTGAAATATCTTACTGCTTGCTTTTGAACTTTTCTAACCAGACTTGTTTGAGGAAAATCTCCCAAGCAGACAATTACCGGAGTTTCTTGGTGGAATTTACTCATGCCCAAATGCTGGTGGTTGTCTTAGATCTAATAAAGGACCCTGGAATGACCCAGAAATAATGAAGGTAGGATCCTTGGGCAGTATTCAAAAGGAAAAATGAACAACTAATTGTAGCATTTAGTAGCACTCCCCTCTGTTCAGACATATGTCTGAGAAATGCCGTAATTATTCTTTTATGTCCTAAACTAAAACTCATTTCCTGTATTCTACTCGCAGTTGGTACACTCAAGAGATGCCTTGTACTTGAAGAAAACAAAAAACTCTTATGAGAATGTTAACTTGGAAGTCAAGCTTTTATCTACCAAGGTTCCTCTCACCAGTCCTACCTTCCATATTTAATCCAGTTCTCTTCGTCTACTGGCAGTTTATCATCACGTAGCTAGGCATCATGTGTTAAGTGGTTGTTTTGGTAGGTTGCAACTGAGTTTTCAAAGGCGCGCCCGAGGAGCAGCCAAGCAACGAGAGGAGCGCCCGCCTGGGTCGGGGCGAGGCGGTATAAGAAAGGTTTATAACAAGCTAGCACATATTAAAACAAATGTATTAATTAGCCCAAATCAATAGCCCAACTTTATTTTTTTTGTTTATAACAAGCCCAATAGAGCTTCTTTAGTTGTTTGCTTGCTTTTAATCAAAAGTAAAATATTTTCATAATATCTTTATGTTTTTCTTAATTAATTTATGTAATAATATATATAATTAATTTTAAAATAATAAAATATTAAAAATAAATATTATTTACTAACAAAATTTATTAAAAACAAAACTTAAATTTTATAATAATTTAGAGTTATATAATATTTTAAATTGATAATAAAATTAATTGGTAATATTTCAAAATAAATAAAATAACTAAATATAAATTATTATTCCATGATGACCATATAATTGTCCTATATCCATGTTTTCGTATCAAAATTAAGATAACTTTAACTTTGTGTTAAAATGCTTTAGAAACTAGGGTAAATGAGTCTTGAAACTTTAGTGAAAGGAAAGGGTATAAAGAGGAGATTAAGTGTTTTAGGAGTGAATTAGTGGCTAATGGGTGTGAATATACTCTAGAATAAATTATTCAACTTATTAACATAAAATGTGCAAGTAGTGAAATATCTTATGCTTCTGATGCGATGCCAGATACCTTAGATTTCATGCAGTCAGTGTCACACTCTGACGAAGTATTTATCTCTGCCCTATCTTTCTGGCTTCTCTTCTAAGCACATCCTTCTGCCAGGAAAGGATGAGTGATCATAACTCTTTGCATGACATTAGCAAACCAGAGAACGTTGCAGGAAGCTAGTTCAACAAGTCAGTAATCATTTTGTGATCCTAAATGAACATCATATTTATGGAGACTTAAGAGCAGGGTAGCCGAGTAGTGTGGGTCACAGCCATGGGGTGTAACATCTCTGTCTTCTTTTTAATGCCTCTGTAGTAATTTCCATGACTTCTACTTCTATACGTTTCTGTCATTGGAATCTATGAAGGCCCAGAACTAGAGTAGCGGAGTAGTGTTGCCTTAGTTTAGGTTGACTTTATTCCTTCTAGTAGCTTGCTATCACTGACTACTGTGTATTCCTTCTCTTCATATTTTCTCTTTTTAAATTTAGCCGGGACTTACATTTCTATCTATATGCAGAGATTATTACGTAGGGATTACTTCCTATTACAGACGCGCATATGAAGACTGCATATGAAGACTATTCAACTATGTATTTATTTATTTATTTATATATGCATTGTATTTTATCTTTATTTTTAATTTCCTTGACTGCCGGAGGTCTTCCACGGAAGCTGCTCTTAACCTGGCGTTGGGGGCAACCTACTACACTACCTCCCTCTTACCCCATTACATATGAGAAATAGGGTTTTGTTGTTGTTGTTGTTGTTGTTGATCTATATCGTTATACTATTCAACTTGGCATCAGTGCATATTGTGGTAGTTTTCTAACATGTCTTAATATAGTTGTTCCAACTCTATCATAGTAAATACCATCATTTGGACAAGAATGGGATCATTAAAGCAAAACTACTAACAATAATTAATCTTGGGAAGGTACAGGAAAAATTATGTCCAGTCCACGCTATTAATACATGAAAGGCCAGTCGTGTTTGGTTTCTTTGGCCAACCTGGGTTTGGACTTGAATCAAATTTTGAAGTGTCTCCTAACTATTTAACAGATGTAATTGCTACTATATAATAGTAAATAACTATCACGTAAACCAATAAAGTCAGGATAAAGTAAAAGTAGTAGCTCTAACATATGCTTCCATGTGTAGTAAAAACTTTCCTAAATTAGCAACGCTTGTTATGGGAATCCTGTAATATATATCTGATTTCATTGTCCATTATATTTTTGGACTTGTGTAGTTGTATTCATTCAACATGTCAATTTTTGACTCTTTAGGACTTCTAATGATGCTGACTTCTCATTATTGCATAAGATCATTATCTCCTCTCTCAGCACTAAAAGAACTTAACAGCAATGCTAATTTTTCTCTCTCATGTATGCTAGCTTTGACATCTTACTTTCGTGCTGTTTTCAGATGATGTAACAAGTGACGTTACTCCTAGACTCCTAGAAATGCGGGAAAGAAGCTTGTTCACCATGTAGCAAGTGTTTTTACTCATTTTGTACACAAATTGTTAGCGTTTTTATGTTTCTTATTCTCTGGACTGGGAAGATTCCTGGTAGCACAAGATTCGAAACAACAAACAGAAAACCAGTCGAATTGCCAGATGACAGGTTCAGGGTTTATAGAAAATGGAATTTTGACAGAAGCTGAAAGTGACTTACTCCATCCGTGTTGCAGAGGCTACAAAATTTAGAAACTTTGGTAACTGAGCTTTACAACAAACCTGCAACCATTCCTCCTGAAAAGAAATGACTTGCTTCTCGAGTCATTAAATCGTATTAGATCCATTGAACAAGATTTACAGAAAACAAAGAAAGTAAGACTTCTTTCTAGTTTCTACATTTTTTTTTCGCAACCAGCTTTCTGCCTTTGTACATTCTGGTGACTGAACAATGACATTTTTTTGTAGGCATTATTTACAACTACATCAAAACAAGTAGAACTTGCTATGTCATCGGTGCATTTAAAAGAGAGAGACTTATCTGTAAGTTCCAAATTTCTTGGAAAAGAAATGGTAAACTTCATTAGGAAAATAAAAATGAATTTTAACTGTTGGTGTAGGAGAGGAATTTGGTGACAGTAGGCTGTGTTCGAATTATTTCCCTGAGTGCTGTCCTTCTAGATGGCATGATGGACATTTGAACCAATTTGATTAAAAACAAAGTACAAAACAGAAACAAACCATAGTGGGAAGTGGAAACTTATCTCATACTATGATCATATATATTATTAATAGGTTTAACATATGCCTGAATAATTGGGAAAAAGCTGTTACCAAAGCTTTCCAAACACAGACAATTTGTGCTGTGTGAAATTGCAATTTCTCTTTGTTCAATGATCTGATTGGCCTGGTCCAGAGTAAAAGCGCCTTATTTATCATATACAGAAAACTGAAATTGCTTATTGCATGCCCAACAAAACACCCATAACTTCCATCCGAGTTTACTGAGATTTATGGTGGAATTATAGTTTTACCGTCTCTAGAATATGTAATATTGGCTGTCGTTCACGGGAAAACATTGGCTCTTGTTTCTTCATATTAATTCAAATGCTTTGTGTCTTTGTGTTTGGTTTTACTTCTCTCCCAAATATGGAATAGATTAAGCTTAATGGATATCTTCAAAGAAAAGGGCATATTCTGATGGTATTGGGTATGAAATTAACAGGGTAAATTTTCACGTTGGCGAAGAAACTACAAACATTTGAACGTAGAAAGATGAATTTGCTTGCTTTGCTTGTGCTGAGGTTGCCTAGCCGATATGCTATCTTCTTTTGTCTATAACAGCAGGGATTCGGATGTCCGTCTCCAATGCTTGCTTCAATCAGGTTGACTCACTCTTTGTTACATCAGTCTCACTTGCACCCTATTTTGAACATCCAAATCTCATTTCCGTTTTGGTTTTTGTTTCCGGTTGGTCTTCGAAATGGCAGCCAAAGTGCATACAAGTAGGGATGGCAATGGGTCGGGTCGGGTCGGGTTTTTGGGCCACCCGACCCGACCCGAGAAGAAAGGGTTCTCCACCCGTGACCCAACCCGACCCGAAAAAATTAATGTTTCACCGACCCGACCCGACCCGAATATATGACTTAGAAACCCGACCCGACCCGACCCGAAATAATAATAAAAAAATTTAATTCAATAAAAACAGTGACTTAATTGAAAAAAATTATATATGGAGGGATATTATTGTAATTATCCCTAAATATATAAGATAAAATTATATATATTTTTCGGGTCGGGTCGGGTCGGATTTTTTTACCCTAAACCCGACCCGACCCGAACAGTGCATTTAAAAAAAACCCGACCCGACCCGAACCCGAAATTTTTTTAAAAAAATCCGACCCGATCGGGTCGGGTCGGGTCGGAACTCGTCGGATTCGGGTTGAGTTACCATCCCTAGATACAAGACAGTTGCGAGGTATAATAGTAGACCATAGAAATAAACCGTTCTTGACAAAGCATAGTACTTACATAAAGTCTGTACGTAGTATGAATTTTGTCCCGTCATTTTTGCTGCCTTCTATAAATAACAGTACTTGAGCTCACTCGTTTCATAACTCTAGAACCCATTTGATAAGGTTACGCTTGTAAAGCTAAAGCTTAAATAGAGTGAAAGTGTACACTGAAGATGCTTTATGATTTTTTATTTATACATAATCTTGGAATGAAGAATGTCATTCTCTCCAACGCACCGAACTCAAAGCCTGCCAATGGAAAGATGTAGCCGTGACAAAACAGCCCTCCAGTGCCGTCACAAGATGGAGAAGCTCCAGTCATTACTGCTCTGAATGCTGAGGCCTCGCTTCAGGGGCTCCTTGGCCTTTCTATGACACCATGGAAGCTCTCTCGAGCATGGTCCTTTTCCTACCTCTGCTCAACCGCTGCCTTCCTTGGTTCCTTCAACCAGAGTGGCAAACTTCTATTCGGAAAATGGACATGGGGTTGGAAATAATTACTATAACTTTGAAGAAGATGACGCGATCGAGGAGGAACAAGATGATGATAACGAAAAAAAAAAACCAGTTTAGTAAAAGCCGCAGTAATAATTATATCCTGAGACGGTTGAAATGGTTCGCTAGGTTCCCAAGTGGGCGGAGGAGAAGGGTTAGACCGGAAGAGGGCAGAGATAATGAGGTGACAACTGTGGGAGCGGAAATAAGGAGATTTGCTGAGAGGTTAATGAGAAGATGTGAATGCTGAGGGAAAGGGAAAGATTGAGAATGGAAATGAAAAACAAAAGGATTGAGATGATACTTCCTCCATTCACATAGCAAAATTGTTGATGTAATCCCTCATAATTTCTGGTCTAATAAGGTGGATGAACAGTTGGGGTTAAAAAATGTAACCCTTTGTTAAATCAGATGTTTTGAAGTGCAAGTTGTTGACTTGTTTGTGATCCATGGACCTACCAATTAGTTTTTCAACCATTGAATGACAGTTACTTCCTAGCTGTTTCTTACTTTACAGGCAAAGATGTACCATTTGACATGCTACTTCCCTGCCTTCTTGTCTAGTTATTTCCAGCTCATGAGCAGCTTACACACTATTTTTATTTATCTTCTGGTAATGCTCGTAAGCAGCAATCTTTTACAAAATAAAAAATAATTATTCAAACAGTTTAGACACTAATCCCAGATACACATCATCAGGGGCAAACAGCAGGAAAAAAGAGACCTGCAATTGTGTTACACAAATTACAGCAATAATTGATTGGAAGGCTTTTTTTGCCTAATAACAATGATCACTTGTTATCCACTTCATCTGAAAAGGGTAATTAATTCATACAAGACTCCCCTCTGCATACAAGCAGGGAAAAGGAGATGAAGAAAGTACAAGAAAACGATGACTTATGTACAAATGACTCTATATTCCGTCTTCATCCTTCCCAATACTCTAGATCACTGCTAATATACATAAATTCCCAAAATCCCCCCAAAAAGAAAAAAAGGTCCTTTTTCTGTGAATTTCTAAACTGCAAATAGAAACCACCTCTTTCCATATGGCAATGCCCCACAAAATAACCAGCTTCGTCTGCATAAACCCAAAGTTCATGAAGAAAATTTTGATACCAAAGAAATTAACACAGTAAAATAAAAACTAATCCCAAACAATACACCCAGCCAAGCACACACAGGCAGCTAGCTGTAAAAGGTAGCCACCCATAAATAATTTTCAAACAAGAGCTTAGAGAAATAGTCAAGAAAAGGCCTTAACAGACCACTTGAGAAACAATTTGAGATGGGGATCGGCATTTATCATGATAATATTAGAATGGTATGATAATTCCAATTGTCTTAGTTTTCCTAATATGCCAATCTAACATGTAATAACTCTATAACAAGCCTATTTAAATCTGTAAATGGTTAGTACCTGTACACTGCTGTTACGAGGGCATGCAAACCCAACCTAGTAGAACCCTTCGCTGTTGGAACTGATCCATCCAAAAAATTGCTTCACTCCAGCTTAGAACTGGATGGCCTGTGATACAAGCTGCCTTGTACAGCTTGGAGTTGCGGAATTTGCTGTTGTGACTGCTGCTGCAATGGAAGCTGCTGTGGGGATGAATTATGCAAGTCGTGCTGTAACTGCTCTTGCGGCTGGTAGTGTTGTTGAGATGGGGCTGGTGTTGGGGATTGCTGTATTTGTGGCTGTTGTGGCTGCTGTGTCCCAGCCTTCTTCCCATGAGGTAGTAAGCCACCTGATGATTGTCTGTGTGCTATCCCTTTGCTGACGGAAGGTCCTGGAACACTAGCAGCTGAATTTGTAAGAGGGGGGCTCCCTACGGATCCCATTTGAGTGGCCACAATTGGCATACCAGGATTATATACTGGTTCTGATGCTTTCCACTGAGAACCAACAGAAGAAAGATTTTGCACTGTGTTAGCTGAATCAATGCCAGATTGGGACACTGCCGTGGTTGCAGTTGTACCCATCTGTGAAGCATTGTTCATTTGCTGTTGGTCAGCTTGAGTTGGCTCGGCTTGAGATTTGCTGGGAGGATCATAATTCACTGGCCGATTCTGTTGAAGCACCCTTTGAACAGTATATTGGTTTTGATTAACCTTCTTTTGGTGTGGCTGTGATGGTAGGTGCAAATGCTGGGGATTGGGACCGACGGCCACTGGCAGGATGCATTGATTCACAGCTGATGGTGTACGATCAGAGGGCAATGTGGAAACTTGACCTTGAGAACTATTATCAGAATGGGAAACTATCTGCTGGAGTTGCTTTGTAGAAGGGGGTGTTGCCCCAGAAAATTGCTTTTGCTGTGGCTGGGAAACTAGAGGTTTAGATTGTTGGACGGGGTTTGTACCAGGCCCGGGACACAAGCCCTGATCTTGCATCAAGTTCGTGATTTGCTCTCCTTTCTCAGCAGTTTGGTTGCTAGAGGCCATGCAGAGGCCACTCAGATCAGCAGGATCAGTAGAAAGGTTTTGATGCACTGGGACGTTCCCTCTTCCCACTCCCTTCAAAAGTTTAGTTTTCTGTTGAGACTGTGTTTGTTGTCGTTGCTGAGGATGTTGCCTGCCAGACTGCTGCTGCTGCTGTTGCTGAGGTTGCCGCTGCCATTGCTTGCCAACCTGATTGTTCAATCCACTGGCCCCAGTTTGATGATTCCTACCAAGCCCATGAGGGGACAAGTGGTGTTTCTGTTGGTGCTGTAATGACATAGGAGTCAATGGTGAAGATGGAGGGGGGATTGATACCGGTTGAGTTGCAGTTTGAGATTGAATCTGGGAACTATTCTGAAGAGAAGATGATATGGGAAGTTGGGTTGGAGGTTGGACATGTGGCATCAAAGCACTAGATGCAGCAAACTGTTGTTGCTGCTGTTTCTGGGGCTGTTGTTGCTGCAAAAGACGCTGCTGCTGCTGCATTTGCCTTTCTTTGCCAATGCGCATGGCATATGCTTGCTGTTGCGG